TATATATATATTTAATCAAGCAAAAATCAAAAGGAAAAAAAAGTGTTTCAAATGGCTTGATAGACATAACTTACAGAAGGGGRTTTTCCATGGGGGGCCACTTTTACTTCCTTCACTTCACCATCTGGTAACAACACAACTTCCACATAAAATAAGTTATCTGTCAGATAGCATGTGGCCTCAGTAACGTGAAAACCCATCCTTAAAAGAAAACATGAATTTATCACCACAATAAATTATGCGTTTTTTATAATAGAAGCAAATAAACTGCATATACGAGACAGGATTTAACCAAAGTACAAACTAAGTCAGTTCTTTTTACCCTTGTTGCTTGGCTATCGTTTCCAAACGGGACTTTGTGGTGTTCATAGAGGGAGCTGGAAGACATAGATAAAGAATGAGAACAAAGGCCATGCACTAAGGGCCTTTTAAAAAATGACTGGAATGTTTGTGTGTTTACCACGAAGCTCTTTCTGGAGTCTTTCCAGGGATCTAACAAGCGTCTCACAAGGTTTGGATTTGTCTCTGGATTTCTCCTATTGTGAGACAAAAAGGGAGGAAAATAAAAACAAAGAGCCAGTTGTGCTACAGCGAGAGGCTTGTGTCAACAGCCTTTGGTCCTGTCCACCCGTCCCACCGAGGAGCACAAGCTGTGTGACGCCACGGCAAGGCTCAAATATTAACATTGGGATGCGCGGTGCATGTGGAAATAAAAAAAAAAAACATATTTAAAAACGCAACTTTCAGGGTATCCGGGAGAGAAAACATGACCTGCGCGTCAGTCTGTACTTTCTGAATCCCACAATGATCACTACTAACAAAGTATTGCGTAACTAATCCCMACTGCATTATCCCTTTGGACCACACATCACCTCGGACCACCAAGTAATCATGTTTCCCCTACCAGACTCCAGGGACTGACCCCTGCCAAGCTCCACTTTAGATTAATCCACACGCTTTATCTGCTGYGCTGCTCCACCCATGATAACTCCAAAGAAAACTAACATCTCTTTTCTTCTCAGAGTCTCAGCTTGCAAGTTAGACTCGGTGTTAAAATACCACCCTCCAAACAAAAAAACAATAAAACTATGATTCACCCAAACAATAGATATCTGYGAGTAGAGCCCAAATAAATTATAGGACCAATGTAAACATTGCAGAGGGAAATAATTTGCTCCAAACCTTAAAATAACATTTGTTTTGTTGAGATGGGCACATGCATTTTATTGGTGCTGTCAATCTGCAGAAGGAAACCAATTGTTGTGTTCCAGTACAAATCATCTCATGGTCTCTAAGCTGATGTGCATCATCCTGTGTGTCAGCTTTTTAAAGAGCCATTCTAACAATTCACTCAACAACTAAACTGCAATGATGCWAAATTAAAACACTTATAGGTCTCACCATGCATTTTCGGACGAGCTGAAAAGTTTCATTCCAAGTCTTCTCTGCAAACTTTAGGTGCAGTTTGGAAATGATGGCCTTGTCCATCACTAAAAGCAAAAAAAAAAAAAAAAAAAAAAAAAAAAAAAAAAAAAAAAAGTCAAAGTTATGTTGACGCCTCCTTATTTTTGGCCATTTTAATACAGGCCACCATATAATGTATATTTCTACTAAATTATTGCTTGAACTAAACACACAATGTTGGCGTTTATGGTTAAAATTATGTAAAAATTTAAACCAAAAGCTATTTTTGATGCTCATTAGCCAATTATTCCATTATTTTCTGCCAATTGCTTTAATACTGCATGCAAGTTGCCACAATATCATTTTTTTATGCGAATAAAGAACTCATTCAAACACTAAAGTAAAACTGACTTGTTGTCTGAAAGACTACCCGGCTGGCGGCGGGCGTTGTCAGACGGAGCCAAGCCCACGAGAGGTGCAGTCAGTCCGCTGCTAACAGCTAACGGTGCAAGTCCCAGGAGTTAGCCACGGAGCTAGCCATGAGCTAACTAATAGCCAGCTGACTCGTTTTTATTTTTGCCACCCCAATTTAATCTTCGCCGAACGCTTTGCCGAAGCGAACACAGGTTAATTTACAGGTAAGTGGCCCTTTAACGTAAACGACATTATTGTTGCAGCCGCTCTTTTTGGTCACGTTTTGCCCTTGGTGTAGTTATGATTAGCTACTCGCTTGATAGCCTTTCCCTGTCAAGAGCTGTTGAATTGGGAAGCACCGACCGAGCATCTGTTGCCGTGAGGGGTGAAAGATTCGTCTTTAAAACATTTTTTGAACAGCTGCAACCAATTTGAACCTCCTCAGCTGTGGATTAAACGTCAGGTGACGTTTACCTGTGTGGGTTTGGAAGCTGGTTAGCCACCTCCGTCGCCCACTTGTCAGCCCACTGACTAGGTTTATATTAGCTTTAATCCGCAAACTTGTTTCTGAGTTAACATAGTCATTAAAGTATTATTAACCGCTTTTATTGGAATGTTGTTGGTTTATCATCATGGCGTCTCAGTTTGCTAAAAGTGCTGCCTGCTCAGTTAGCATCGACTAACATCACTTGTTTTTGTCGTGAATTGTGAGCTAAGTCATACAACGCAGATTAGATAATAACATTGTTGGTCACTGTTGTGGTCAACATCACCATTATTGTGATCTATTTTTTCTCTCCTAAATGTGAGTTTAGCATCGTAATTGTACAGCTTTGGCTAAAATGTTGCATTTTAAAATGTTTTATTAAGTATTAATGCTCTTGAACTGCTAACGTTATTTTCACCTAATACMTTTTGCAAGTTTAAGTAAATGTAGCAAAAGTGTATTAGCTCCTGTAGTAGATTGTTATATCGACTTTCACTGCTAACATCCCTTCAGCTAATTTGTCTAATGATGTATTGGCATTACTCCCATATTTATCTCTGATCCCTAGAGGTCTGCATTGTTTTGTTAGGAAAGCACACACACATTTCTGGACATAATGCTTCTTCTTAAAGTCTTCGTTGATTGTTTATTATGGGAAACTGACCACTAAAGAGCTGTATTACATAAGTTTTTTTTTAAACTAAAAACGTATTTGTGCAAGAAACATTCAGTTTAAGTTAGACAGTTTTGCTATTGTATTGCATTATGAAACTAAGAACCCTGTTTGCTGTAGTTTTGCCAAGTATTTTTAGAAAATATGTCAGGTTTGGTTATTTAGACCTCAGGTTATATTTAMGCTTGACTTTGGTCAGTCCAAAATGAACAAGGATGCTGGTTTTTAGTTTTGTTCCCCTACAGCAGGGGTGGGCAATCCTGGTCCTGGAGGGCTGCAGCCCTGCATGTTTTACTTGCTTCTCTGCTCCAACACACCTGATATGAATGAATAGATGATTATCAGGCTTCTTGCAGTACGGAGGACCAAAACTGACATAATTAGAAATAAAAGCAGAATTATATAAATGAACCACTAAATAAATAAATACACTTAAAATGCACCAGTTCAATTAAAAAAGAGAACTTTACCTCATGTCGTATAATTTAATTGACCTTCAAATTTATTTTTCGAGCTTAGTTCCGA